AATCACCCATTTTGTCTGGAAAGGAAAATGTCCACTTTGGGCAAAATTTGATCTAGGTGCATTAAGGTTTTATGGTAAAAGGTCCACATTTTCATACTGCCCCCCCCCTTTTAGAAATCACTGCCCACAAGCCTGCATGTAGCAGCAAGGGCAGGTTTCAAGTGCCCCCTGAAACTCAGGGTGTTTTCCCTCCCACCACTTATCAAAATTCTCTGCCAGCCAGTGAATGCTGCTGCCTTTTAGTAAAAGCGGCAAATATCACACAAAAAACCCTGAATCATATTTTATACATATGTTCAATGGGTGTAATTGCAATCATACCATTCCTTTGTAGCATAACTCCATAAACAGCTTCTTGTGTGTCTTGCTTGCTCAATCAAAATTTAAGTGTTCATTTAGTGATATTATTGGGGACAAGGCCTAATGTGATTACAATTTCTATTACTGATATTAGAAATGACTTTTTTTTCATCCTATATTATTCTTCTCCCTTTTTCCCCGTAAGTGTGTTTGTGAACACTTTTAGTGTTTGAGTGGCCTGTTGAAAATCTCAAAACTGACCATTTTCTGAATATTGGTCAAGCAGTTGCAAGAAGGGATGAGTAAGTAACCAAACTTTTAAAAGTCTCTTTTTTATCAAAGCTTCATTAAAAAAAGAAATCTGAAACCACAGGTATGCAGTCTGTATTGCTTCTCTCCCCTGCAAAAGATATCTTATAAAGACTTCACTGTATAACAGCTGAAGACTTAAGATGCAGGAGGGCCTTGGAATGGAGTGAATGTGAAAACTGACCAGACATCCAGCTGGGAATGATGTCCATTATAGACAGAACTATCTGTGTTTTTATTAACTTGAGACATTTTTGTAAACTGACCAGGCTTACCAAGTTAACAGGAATGCTGTTCACAACTGTACGGAGTATCTGGGACATACGGTGAGCCTGGGCTGCATTCAGCACCACTTTTCACGTATTTAGACTTACTCCAGGAGAGTGGGGGGGGGGGGGGGGGGGGGAAGTTCGCCACGTTCCAAAAACCCCTGGTGGGGGGGCCCCCCCCCCCCCCCCAAAAAAACTGTATAACAGAGAAAC